TTTTTTTAAAATCATGATTTTATAATTTAATTTAGTTTGGATTATAAAACATAAAATCATATATATATATATTATCAAATTGGTAGCCGTAATAGCGATGTTCCATGAGGTCATAATTGATCTTGATCTCACTGGAAATTAAATCAAGGATTAATGTCGTCAAAATCCTCCAACTTATCAGGAGTGATTGTCATTCTTCCACCTTAAAAAATTTCTTATGAATTCCTCAACTTTGGGGAAATGGACAACTGACGGGGCTCATAACGTCATCCGACTCACCGTTTAAATACTCTAAATTTTAACGGTAAAATGACATTGTTGGTCCCTTAATTTTTAGTTTTTATGCACTTTGATACTCAACTTTAGATTGTTCAATTTGGTTCTTAATTTCAATTTTTCTTATTACAATTTAGTTCTTAAACATTTGAAACAGTTACACTTAAGTTTAAAATTTTTTTAATTTCATATAATTTAGTTATTTTTTACACATATAATGTCAATAAAATCACATTGAATTCATTCAAATATCAAAAAATATTAAGACCGAAATACTAAATTAAAAAATTTAAAAATTTTCTATCATTAAGGTATAAAATCAAGTTTTTGATACTTAATTTAAAATCTTTTGAAATATTATAACCCAAATGATGAAGCTGCAAATGATATGCATATCACTTGTGAGTGTGGACTGAATGTAGTCATATGAATATCATGGACTAATGATAATTTTGGGTACTGTTTCCATGATTATGAGTGTATAACAAGAAAATGAAGATAAATATCTCATTTTTACCTTTTATTGATCATATTGCTATTCTTTTTCTTTTTCTTGTTTTTATATTAGTCATGTGTATGTAGAGAATTAAATATCATTTCTTTACTTTTAAGGATCTTAAAGTGGGTATCAAAAATTTGATTTTTAACCTTATTAAGATGAATTTTATATATTGTAATTTACTATTTCAACTTTAATTTTATTGATATTTGAATAAATTGAATGTGATTTTATTGGATTTTATAAGATTCTTATTATTTGTTTAAGAAGACCGAAGCGTATGAAATTTGCAAATTTGGGACTTAATTGTGTCTCATTAAAAAGTTTAGGGACTAAAATGCAATTAAAAAGTTAAAATTAGGCACCAAACTGACTAATATTGAAGTTTGAGTATCAAAGTGCACAAGAAGCAAAACTAAAGTGACCAACGATGTTCTTTTACCATTACACTTTGAAGGATCTTACCCGAGTAATAGACGGCGTTATAACACGGCAGTTAACAGAGGACGCTGATTGCCCTTTCACCAAAGTTGAGAGATTTCCACGAATTTTTTTAAGGTAGAAAGATGATAATGACTTTTTATTGCAAAGTTGAGGTTTTTTTAGTGGCATAAAGCCTAATTTCTGTCTTGCCAAAAAGAAAAAGAAAAAAAAGGGGAATATTTTAGTTTTTTTTTTAAAATATCTAAATAAAGATATCAATTTTATAATTTTTTTATTTAAATATGAGAATTTTGATAATTTCTAATT